CCGACTACGCCAAAAAAAAAAAAAAGTAGTAGTGGTAGTGGTAGGGGTGGTAGTGGGAGTAGTGGTAGTGGTGGTAATAGTAGTGGTAGTAGTGGTGGTAATAGTGGTAGTGGTTAGTAGTAGTAGTGTAGTTATATATCTAAGTAGATAAAAATAGTGAACAATGTATTTTAGAATTTGTTCTATTTTGACTCTGACCTCATTCTTATCTTTGGTGTGTATACCAAAATAAATTCGACGATATTCATATCGTCTACTTTCTGGGAAAGGATTTGATACGTTTGTGGGCATTAGTTGGACTGGCGCTCCTAGCAGTTTAAGCTAAGCGCCTGAAACGAGACACCGTCTCCTGTTTTCAAACGTGGTAAAACGACACCGAAGCGCTCCGATCGTTTCGAATGCTTCTCGACGTATTTCGAGGACTTGACTGTAGTCGTAGCGACATATTGCTGCCGCTGCCTTATATTAACCATATTAACATGGCAGCTGTTTCAATGGTTCTAGGAAGTGGTAGACAGTAGTAGTGCAATATGTTGTGGAATTTTAGAAAGTAGAATAGTGCGGATGATTACATTTGGCTTACTGAATGACGTGTTTTAGTGATTTCGTGTAAAGTTCTCGAATACTTGTTAGGCCCTTCTACCCACCCCATCCTGCAAACGTATGGAAATTTATCTTACTGAATTCATGAATGCGAGTTTTACGAATATCGCTCGTCAACATGCCTTCATAAATCGGCGTTCTGTATAATATAAAATTTTTAATATCGCTTTTCGTTATTGTTATTGTTTTGCAAATGTGCCTGTGTTACATTCTTAATACAATGAATACATATGTTCTCTCTGAGAGTTCATAAATATTATAATATTGACCTTATAATTAATTTTATTGTCTATATTTTATGTTACTAATATTTTAGTATTGATTAATTATTTGCAATTTTGAGGCAATTTTTATAAAGAACTGAAAGTTCATATATCTTTTGTAGTATCAGTTTTGTTTTTCTCTCTGACACCTGCAAGAAATATACAGAAATTTTTAATATTCATCTTTATTTGTTGATAGTTTGTTTCCATTTTTTAAAAATCATTTATTATTTATTATTTCCAATATCATGTAAGATAATATTTAATGATATTTATTTTGTAAAATGTAAATATTATCGATCTCTATAATACATTGATCTTTGTACGAGATCATAAATGAATTGCAATTGACGTGCGAGACAGAATATATGTGAAAATGTACGATTCTCCCAGTTCTCTTCAAGAAGCATGTGTTGACTTTATTTGTGAAAATTTGGAAGCTTTGTGTGAGACTTCTCCAGTGAATGCAAGTACATCAACTGCAGAAGGAGAATCTGAAACTGAACTCACCCAAACTACTACTTCTGCTGCTGTTGCTGCTGGAAATCGTCTTGTTTTTCGAGATAATGATGTGTACTTCCATTCTGATATATCAGAACAACTTCTCACTGCACTTAGTGAAAAGGGGAAGCTCTCAGACTTTAGAATGACATTATTCGATTCCAGTACAACTAGACTGAGGTAAGAGAGAGAAGGATTTGTTACATTCCAACCTACCCGAGTTAAGTAATTGCCTTATCAAAATTGCATCGCTCATTAAATATTTTATGTTTGATCACCTGGGCACAGTTGTCACCACCTGGAAATGTTTATTCAGGTACATTTCTACACATTTTTTGTGAAGTTTGATTTATATGTTTTTTAGTCCCTAATAATTTGATAATGTAATGCCATTTTTTAATTATTACTAATTATTTAAGTGTACTTAAGTTTCCCTGGATTAACAATTATTGCTTTCTCGGGGAATGAACAGGATTCATCAATTAATCAATTGACTTACGATGATATATTTATTATTTACTGCAGTTCTGTCTTCCTTTGAACATATGCTTCTTCCATTGAATGTCAGCAATGAGAATCACCACAGTGTCTGGCAAATTATGATAAATAATGATGGTGATATGGAAAATGATTGGTTTAAACTGCCCTCTTGTTTAGAAAGATCTCGACACCATAAATTTCAGTTACAATTAAAATATGAAGTTAGGGAGATTTAATATGAGCGACAGGAGGTCTATGGTGCTCTTTACCGTTTCAATTTAGGAAGTTTGCCCCCATTTGGCGCGCCTTACATCAGGAATTGAGGGAGAGGAGTTCCCGAAGGGGGCGTGCGCGGGCCGCGCGCGCGCTGTCATTCCGGGCGAGTGAACGGCAGGGCAATTGACAAAGAGCGGATCACTCGGTTAAATCCGAAAGAAGTTCAATAATGAGGGCGAGTTCGAAAACGTGTTTGTGAGGAGTGATGGCATCTTCAGAAAAGTCTAATTTGAATTAAGAAATTTCCACTGAGTGAATTTGCATTACATCCGCTCGTATAATATATTCCACAGTATTTGAAGAATATTCAGTTATTAAAATTGGACTTTTACCTCACTATATGGAAATTAATTGATAAGTTTTCTAATGGAGAAATGTATGAAATTTCTTAATATACCCCCTTCGTTACACCATTCTATGGACGACACTTAAACATTTTAATTAAAAATATTATAATTTGAATGTTATAATTTAAGATCGCATTGGCTAATTTTTACGTCAATTTTTTATACTGAATTTTAATATTTTTCTTATTATTGAAGTAATTATGAAAGGACGAAACTCGTTTAACTGCAATACATTTTTGTTGGAAATTGCAGTATGACTATCAAATTTCTACAAACTTCAACTCCTGCAACTACATTATTACTATTATTTTATTATTATAACATAATTTTGGCGGGCAAGATTACATTTTTGTGCTTGGTAAAAAAGATCAAGGACGGAGCGATAACAATGCATTCAATTGTTATGAACATTAGGAATGATGAAACGAGTGTTCGTATGGATTCGTAAAAACGCTCTTTCTAGCCAGGATAAAGAAAATTAATAGAATGTTTAATGACAACTGCAAACGTAACAGTTATTAACGCTTACCAGTTTAAATATATATATATTTTTTTTTTGCAGGTGTAGGAACTGCTAACATTTATTATAGACGTTAACCGTAACATTTTCTTCAATGCTTGATGCTAACGCCGACCGTTGACTTGAATTTTGTCCCTCTTGGAAGTTCCAGGGTTAGCCCCAAAAATCTGGAAGCTACCCATTTACTGAAGACTTTAATCTGTCCGTTTGTTACTGTTTTAGACTTAGTCACCACTTCTTTTGACAGTACTTTTTGTAAGGAGATCAGCTTCAGAATCAGCATGCAAATTGTGTTATTAGTCTCCGGAACAATGCCGTTGTTCACGATTCAAAAGAATTAAGAATGTTGCAATATTTCATGGAATTTTACCAAATGTGTTAATACCTATTATTTACTTCAAATATTTGTTAATTCTAAGCGTTACAAAAATCTGAAGGAGTCTTCATTTAGAGACCACACGGCAATGTAGTTTCAATTTCTACCATATTTATTTTCTCTACATTTTCGACAGTAAGGCAAAATTCTCTGGCATCTTTGGTATTTGTATTAGCTATGACTAAGCGATTACACTGCCAGTCATCTGTTTTGTTCGCGTAAATTTGTTTACTCATCGCGTCTGCCTGCACCTGCACGCCCCGCAATCAGAGAGTGACACATTCATTATCAAATATGTTTATTTTACTTTGTGAATAAAATTTGGTCACTTTTAGATTTTCGATTTTTTAGGACGAAGGGCTTTTGATTTCTTTTCATCATTCCAATAAGATAAACATTTTGTAATTTCAATGTTTTGTTTTAATATTTGTGAGTGTAACATTAATTAAAGAAGCAATTAAAATTATCAAGTGGGCTGAGGTATTGAAAACTTAACATTCACATATAATTATTTATGTGCTTATGTGTAAAAATAAATTTGACCACTTCTGAACAAGCTTTAGGCGATAGGTATAAGAGTATTAACAAATTGTTTAGGTTAATGTATTTGAGCAAATTTATTCTAAACATATGGTAGAAATTAATGTTTAAGCAGATACAAATGCTGATTGAGTAAATTATCCATAATAAGGATTTTCATTTTTATGATAAGTTCTAAAAAATATGCCAATTAACCATTACACCACCTGGGAATTGTATATAATAGTCTGTCCAGAAGCTTCTTTTGGTGTTCTTTTTTACTCCAGTAGAAGCAAAGCAACATTTTCAGAATCTTTTCAGTATCAAAGAAATGTCATCACTAGACTTCGGATCTTTAGGTTCTGAAAATTGTGGTTTTAGGCACCTAAGAGGCCCTAAATGTAGGGAAATAGGTCTTTAATAGGCATATTAAATAAACACACTTTATGCTTCATGTCATACAAAATACAGTGATTTATTAAACACAATGTTTTATTTCAAAACACTTAAATACAGTGTGTTCAATTACAATATTATCTTATAAATCAATCATTCTAAAAGGAAAATATTTGCTTTTATTCTATAAAAAATCTGCGTTACAGTTAATTAAAATATAAAGGATAAAATTATGTCTTACATAAATTGTAAGAATTAATGCAACATTGTTATTTTTTAATTAAAAGATTCTTCAATTTCACTTTTTGACATAATTTTGTCAACAATAAATAATAAGAAGCATTTCCAGATGATGTGGGGTAAGTTTGTCTCTTGTCATCACAATTAACTTAAATGCTGAAAATGATCTCTCAATGTATGCGGTGGTGATCGAAACATATTTAATAGGAGAACCATATGCGGATTAAATCCTGTTGGGAGAACTACCTCACATCCACTTAAAATACCTGATACATCTTCCAAAACCGCCAGGATTTTTGACGAGCACCATTTTTTGTTTTTTGGAAACAATTTCGCCAACCTCACCAACAGCTTTCTATAACTGACTTTCTGCTCTTTTAAATAATGTGATTGATTCAGTGAGACTAAGCTTTGACGATTCTAATTGCTCTTTGGCATATGCTAAAAATGTGAAATTAGTGCAAATATGACAGATCCTGCCTCAAACCTTTCTCTTGTAGAACATTCTGTACAACCTTAAAACACTGCGCTTCTTCTAAAAAACTACTTATAACCTCTTCCACTGTGTCAATGTTCTCACTGTACTACTTCACACCCTGCAGTCATGTACCCCATCTTATTAAAATAGGCACTGATGGCAAAGGCAGATTGGCACATGTTTCTTTGTAAGCTTGAATTCTAGAACTTGTCTTTAAAAATACTTTTATTATGGAGGATATTAAAGCATTCCTTTTGCGGAACTGGTTTTGAATATATTTAGCTACTCAGTAAAGAGCATGGGCCAGACAAGTAACGTAAGTTAAATTCTGGTAAAATGCTTTCAATAGTTTCCCAGATGCTATCATATATGGGGCTGCATCAGTGTACAGTAACAAAACCCTTTCATCCTTTACACCATTAGGTTACAGTACTTTCAGTTTACTTCAGAGTTTACAAAGTAGGCAACTGAATAAGCATTAGTTTCCTCCAACACCTTTGAACAAATTAAATGCAATTTCCAGAATATTCTTCATCTACTTCCCTTCAATTATATTTGATATTCTTCGCCCCCGGGCATCTGTGGTTTCATCTACAGATATTAAGATGTAGGAATCTCCTATTTCTGACCTTTTCAGCTGTGATTCATACACCATCGCAAGGTAATATTTTCTAAGTGTTGATTCGGAGCGTATTGTTTCTTTGCAATACTTTTCTAATAATGACCTCATTGTTGTATTTTCTACTACATTCCAAGGAATGTTGGCTGCAGTGAATGCTTTACACATGTCAAAATAAAACATGGATGCTATTTTTGAGGACATGGACTGTGTTAGTAAAGTTTGCTTCTGAGAATCTTTCTTTTCATAATTTGCTTGATGCATTGAAGTTTTCTTGTGTTGTGACTTCTTTTTTTGGCAGACACCTTGAATAGAAGAATATATAAATATATTTTAATGTCAGTATAATCATATTTTGTTAAAATAATTAAAATTTTAAACGAATAACCAATGTAATTTACATAAAACTTAGTATAACTTTTGAAGAAACGTATTTTATAAAATTAGTATTGTTTTCATCTGTTGTACTGTTAGACCCCAGTATTGGACTTTATAAAGTGCATCAAACAAATTCGAAATTATTTTCAGATGGAAGAAAAAGTCATAAGGTACAAAAATTGCAGTAGTTAACATACATGGTCTCGTGTGAATAGTAAAAATTGCAGAAAATGCAGTAAAAATCTTACCTCTTTATTGTAGATCTGACAGAACATTGTTTTCACATCTGTTGTATAAGACTGGAAATCCGAAATCCGTGTTCTTATTAATGCACTTTTGCTAGATTTATTCTTAGGCATTTTGCAGCACTTGCTCAAAAATTATCAGTGACCAAAGACATTTAATATAGTTTGTATATGAATACGAACAGACACTTTGCCTTCTTGTCAAAGAACATGGGTTGCCACATATTAAAATTCAGACAAAAAAATGGAGATATATGCGTGCGTGCGTGTGTGTATAATTTTTTTCGGTGATGATAATGCTAATTTAATTTAAGTTATTTATTTAATGACTACATTCAATGTCTGAACTTTTATTTTTCATCACTCTTCACACATTTTAATAATTTAATGTTTCGAACTTTCTCATAAAATTGCACGCAATGTTCTTTACAATTAACGCTACAAGCAATTTGATTAACTCTACTGAACACTTATTTCTTTCATCGGTCCATTTTCAAATCATTGTAGAAAATATTCCCTCTATAAATGATGATGATGATGATGATGATGATGATGATGATGGAGGCATACTTAGAATGTAAGACATAATTTGAAACAAGTTGTCACTGCTATGTGAACTTATATTTTGGAAAATAAGTCCATTTGTCGGTTGTGCTGTATTTTGTTTGCCAATCAGGTGAGTTAACAAGATGTTTTAAATGTTTGTTTATAAATACTATCTCATCAAACAACTTGTTCATGTTTATGTTTGAAATATGTATGTTCCACAATTTCAGCAAACATTTCAAATTCTGGCAGATGTAAATTATTAACTTTAAGCTTTGACAACTTTTCGATTACAGTCTGTTCATCGAATTCAAATGTTTTTTCCACAAAAGACAAGGCGTTGCCATAAACATTCAAAAATTCTTTTTCAAACTTTTGATTTTCATAAAAAGACGAGTCTTTCAGTTTTGGCATGGCTTCATACCCGGAAAACTGTTTCTATATCCTAGAGGAGAGTTGTTGCTTGAAGTCATTCAAAATCGCGAACATGTCAATGATTGGGTACTATCTTTTTGTAATAATGCAATGGGCTTTTCAAAAACTGCAAGCTAGTGATTGGCAAACAATAGATTCATTTCAACTGTCGCAGGGATTTCTTCGTTTTTTTAAATGCAGAGCGTTTTTTTAAAGCTACAGACAAGTTCTTAACATCACTGTCAAAATATAAAACTCACGCCGGCCATTCTCGTAACAATCTTTTTACGCAAGGTTGTAACGATAACCATCTAGTTGCAACATGGCGTGAAAAATCAGTAAATGCAACATTAAAAACTCACAAAAGCTTTGAAATTCACTTCGACGTACTGATGACAATGAGGTACCGATGTGGGCTGATTTCTAAAACAAGTTTCTCAATGTTTGTCTGTAGAGACAAAGCATATCTCAACGCATTGTGTAATGTGTGTGTAACAATTAACTCGTACAGTATTCGGATTTACTTTTTGCAAATTGACGAACAGCGATTGACTGCGACCGAAATTGGCGTGTGTGTTGTCAGCGCTTAGAGCTGTAACTTTTGATAACTCTAAATTTAAATCTTTAAATCAATCATTGATGCAAGGAAACATGTCATCTGCAGATTCATCGCAATTTTCGTAAAAATCGATAATATTTTCCTGCAAACCATCGCTTCGTGAAAAATACTGTACCACTAATGGGAAAAATTCCCAATTTTTCTTGTTAGATGCATCAGTCATAATAGAAAAATACGAATCGTTCGTTTTTATTTCGATAATCACGTCCTCGAATATTTTTTGTCCTAACACGTTTTCAACAAATGCCTGTGCGTATGTCCTTCCACAATAAATTTTGCAAGAGTTGCAATACTTTAGGAACAAGTTTCATCAAACAATCTAATTATAGGATTGGTTATGTTTTACTGCATGAAATATGGGGGCTAGTTCAATTGCAATAACTTGTAATTCTTCAGGAGTATCGTTTTTAATAACGAATTATTCCATCAATTGAGAACTAGCAGATGCTTTCATCTTTGAGCGATGATGTTCACTATTTTCATGCTGCTTGATGGCAGACACACCTTTCAATTCAATAGAAAATGTACTTAAACAGTATTTGCACAGGCCTTGAGAATAGTTTACTATTTTTAAGTCATGTATATACTTGTAACCAGTTGTCATTAAAATGACATTTCCTTTTCTTGTTTGAAGTGCCCATTTTTACATATTTAATATCTAAAATAAAATTGAATATATATCAAAATATATACAGAAAATAATTGTTTTGTTATATTAGATCGTTGCAAATGAAATTCCCGGATTATACATAAATATAATTATCGATCATTTCATTTGCAATGACCTAATAATATATTTTAAAACATAATGGACTTGCAATTCAAATCTGAAGAAAATAGTTTAAAATTCAATAAAAAAACAACTGCAAATAGATGCTTTATCCACCTAACAGTAAAATTAGCTTGGATTGATATGTGTATTGAACTAATTTTAGGTTATTATTATTATTATTATTATTATTGGCGTATAGGCCATTCTGACCACGCTACACGATTAACGAGTGTAATTCTTCCAGGATCAGCTTTTCAGCTGTATCCTTGGATTACAACGAGGTTTTTACGCCTTGTAGTGTGAATTATGAGATAATAGGATGATGATGATAGGTAAAGGGACTTAGGAGGTGATAGGATATTGGTGAAAGGTGATCGTGGCCTTTTGAACCATCCCAGCATTCGCCTTATGACCGAGGGAAACCACGAACACCCCGGTCAGGATGGCTGGCCCGGGAATCGAACCCGGACCTCCCAATTACGAAGTCAGTGCGCCACGCACTGAGCAACTTCCCTCGGTATTATTATTATTATTATTATTATTATTATTATTATTATTATTATTATTATTATTATTTATTAATTA